CTCCTATGGCTGAAGATATATTGATGATAATTCCTCTCCGGTTTTGACACATTTTGGGCAAAACTATTTCAGACATTTTCAGAGCAGAAACACAGTTCACATTCAAATACTGCTCATTAAAAGCGGAACCGATCTTAAGAAAATATTCCGGGATATGGTATACGATTCCCACGTTATTCACCAATACGTCAATCACTTCCAATTGGTTCAACTCTTTGGCGATCTTATCGTAAATATCGGTACGACTGAAGTCAGCGGCAATTATTTTAACCTAAAGTTAAGAAATAAATGGTTATGTTTTGGAGATAATACTGAAGACACCATTGAATACAAACCTGTTTGCAGTCTTTGTAGTCATTCAATAGACTCTTTTGCGTTGCCATCAGTTTGTCTTCATTTCTTGAGATAATCACTAAATTATAGCCCTTTTGTGCCATTTGTTTGGCGTATTGCAGACCAATCCCATCGGTAGCGCCGGTGACAACAGCCCACACATTGTCCCCGACTTTCCATTCAATACCAAAACCCAATTTATAGCCCAAAAAAGTGGTCCAAAAGCCCTTCAATACACTTATTGTTACTTTTAATCCAACAAAAACTAATGAACCGATTCCTACGATCTCTAGATATGTAAATTCACTCATTATTTCATTAATTTGGTTACGATTTAAACAAAAGTGATTTATTCATTGAACAGACAAAGAGGTAAATGTTGACAACTTTTCAATGCAAACAAAAACAAGTTTTGAAAAGTAATGGGAGTTTTCAATGTGTTGTTCACTGAAAGTGAGTGCAAAACATATTTTCGTCATTTATGTGATTCTTGGAAAATAAAATCAACAAATTTTATAATTGAATTGAATGAGGAAAACATGATTAAAATGTAAACTCACCATGGTTATTTTCAAGTTCATACTTAATTGCTAGTACAATTCTTAATCAATCATTTAATAGCACTAATATTTAGTGCATTTTAAATATTATAGATGTTTTGTAAACCTTCTTATAATCAAATTCTGTAATAAAAGTTTTTAACACATTTGAAAAGTAGTTTTATTTAAAAGATACTAGTTATTTACGCCCGATAATATGAATAAATTAATAATTAGTTAAGTTAGATTAATTAATTGGGTATCTTAGTACAATTGTATTTTCAATATAATCAAATAACAACCCTCGGTTATATACATCTGGTAGTTCATAATTTGCACAATTTGGTAGTAATGCATGGTAATGGTTAGCAGACTCAGCATTCGGTGTTATTCCAACATGTGCTAAATTTAAATGTGTATTTTGAGGTGTATTTTCAATCAATGCTGATGGTGCTAATATTGTTCGAATAC